CTGTGAGTTCAGTGCCAAACATGGTCTACATAGTGAGTTCCAGGACAGCCAAGGCTACCTAGAGAAGTGCTATCTCAAAGAAAACAAAGATAAACCTGTACATGTCAGGCTATAATATTCAAACAGAAAAAAAAAAGAACAGGAGAAAAAATAAGAGACAAAAATACCTTTCCTACAGAGAAGGCACAATGGATTTCTGTTCAGAAACTACTCAAGAAAGAAGGTAGTATGTTGAAAGGCAAACCCAATGTCTAGATTTCTGTACCCAGTACATTTAACAGTGAAAGGAGAAGGATGAATAAAGAGTTTTTTTAGATAAACAATGCTGAAAGAATTTGTTGACAATAAATTTATTTTACAAGAAATATTGAAGGAATTTTTCAATTAGAATGAAAAATTGTCAGAAATTTAGGGCTACACTAAGAAAGGAAGCACATTAGTGAAGATGAAGAAAAAGTAAAACAATATCTTTCTTTTGCTTTTTTAAATTAAATGAATATGTAATGGCGCAACACAATGCTAACAATATTGAATATGACTATAGCTTCTACACGTGTAAAATTAATGACAAATTTTGTAAAGGATAGAAGAACTAGAAACAGTGTGATAAGACACTTATACTGATGATTGAACATGTGATTGAGTACATGTGATTGAAAATAGATTTACATAGTTGTATATATATTTAAACACATTCTAAATTCCAGTGCAACCATTACAAAACATTTAAGCTGTAATTAGCATATGCTAGGAAAGGACATAAAATAGAAGTATAAAGAAAAAGTGGACAAAAGAAAAAGAAAAAAGAAATAACCAAAAAAATAAATGGAGAACAGGTATAAACATGATAGATACTAATATAACTATAGCAATAATAATTTAAAATTAAAATAGGTTGAATATACCAAGTAAAATATATAAATCACATTTAAGTATAAAGGCACAGATAATTTTTTTTTTTTTTTTTTTGGTTTTTCGAGACAGGGTTTCTCTGTGTAGCTTTGCGCCTCTGCTGGAACTCACTTGGTAGCCCAGACTGGCCTCGAACTCACAGAGATCCGCCTGGCTCTGCCTCCCGAGTGCTGGGATTAAAGGCGTGCGCCACCACCCGCCCGGCCCAGATAATTTAATTTATGTAAAGTGATACAGCAAAGGGATAGAAAATGATAACTGTGTAACAATAATAAAAGAAAACTGAAATAACTATACCGATTTCAGATAGAGCAGGTTTTTTGATCCCTGATGATGAAAGGATCAGTTATCCAAAAAGATGTAACCATCTCAGATGTATGTATTTGACAACAGAGTATAAAAATATATGACAAAAAACATCGGCTAACTACAAAGAGAAAGATTGACTCTTATAGCTGGAGGCTTCAAATCCTCTCTAAGCTCAATTTTTAATGATTTATTTGCATATGTGCATGAGTGTTCGCCAGCCTATACATGTGCAGCCTGTGGATGCCAAGAAAGGCCTGAAAATGAGGTCAGATTTCCTGGAGTTACAGACAATTAAGAACTACTATGTAGGAGCTAGGAACGGACTCTGGGTCCTCTGGAAAAGCAGCAAGTGCTCCTAACAGCTGAGTCCTCTCTCCAGAACCAAGCTCCCTCCTTTTAAAGAACAGATAACCACCCTCTCCCGAAAAACATCAGCAAGAATATGATAAAAATGGAGAGTACCTTCAGTCAACTAACCTACCCGGCATTTACAGAGCACTTTGCTCATAAGGAGTGCCACATATTTCTCAAGCTCACATGACTGAGTTACAAAGATAGCTTGGATCCTAAACATTCTGCCACAGGTTTACAGGGATAGAAATAATAAAACTGTTGACTGCCTGCCCCAGGCAGTGAGGAGAAAACATGATCCTGCTCAGCACTGTTAAGACTGAGCACAAGAAAGAGACCCACGTGCCTGCCTGCCTGGGGCAGCTTACCCTGGGCGGAGAGGAAAAAACATGACCCGCCTGGCACGTTGCAGTGCTGGGTGATCAGACACTATTATGGTGAGCAAATATATAATAGAGTATGGAGAAGAGAGAGACAGAATGGTTCACATCCTATGGAGAGAGGCACATCTGAAGAGGTGAAGGTGGTGAGAAGCTGGCTGAGGTAGGTGGCCTGCTTGCCACCCAAGGCCATGGTGATGTCCGGGCCTGGGCTTCTGCTAAGACCCATGTCTGGGTCTGGGACCCTGCTGCAGCCATGGGCTGTGTTGATGTTCCTGGCTCCTCTTACCACCTATGGCAAAGCAGATAAGGCTGCACGGAGTTGGATCAGCCCTTCACTGGCTGTAACAGTAGGAAGAACTGGCCCAGTCCTTCAGTAGCTGCCGCACTTGTGAGAGCAGGTCCTATACCTTGCCTGGGCAGCACAGTAGAGCTGACCCTTTCTCAGAGATGTGGGTGAGCTGGCCCTGAGGGCATGAAAGTGGGAGAGCTGTCCTGCCTCTCAATAGCTGAAGCACCCCAGGAGAGCTCCCCACCTCACCTGGGCAACATAGTAGAGTTAGCCCTGGTGGTGTAGGTGTGGTTGAGCATGGGGGTGTTTGACCCTGGGGGTATGAAAGCAGGAGAGCTGGTCCCACCACTATCTCATCACTGCATAGGGTAAAGGAGCCAGGGCAATGCTCATCCTTACGGTTACCATGAGGGAAATGAAAGCGGAGAGGCTGACCAATCCTAAAACTTCTCAGGCCCACAATCAGGGCTATGAGTTGGCCCACCCCACCTTCCACCCCATCTATGATCTTCTGGAGCATGTGAAGGGGCCGGTTCTGCAAATGCAAATGAAAAGTCATGGAGGGACTAGTGTTTAGCAAAAGAGCTATGTGAAGAAGGCACCATTCAGTCTGGTTCCAGCTGTATCGTGTTCTGGGAAAGATAAAGTAACACAGACAGTTTTTGTGATCAGTGATTGCTGGATGGGAGCCAGGAAAGCTATATTGGTTTTGTCTAGAAGATTTTCTTAAAGGAAGTGAAACTATCTGTAACTGGGGATTTGCAGCTTGCATTTCTCTGTAGAACCAAACAATGAAAAGAGCCAAGTGTAATGTAAATTACGGACTCTAGTTAATGATATGTATCAACACTGGCTTATCAATGATCATACATGCACCATTAACTCAAGATTCTACCATACAAGCAACTGAAGAAGTCAGGGTAGGGATATAGAATTCTCCATATTTTCTGGGGTAAAACATAAAATGATCCTCTATATTTTGTGTGTGTGTGTGTGTGTGTGTGTGTGTGTGTGTGTGTGTGTGTGTACATACATACACATGCATGCCATGGAAAGCATGAAGGCCAAGAGACAGTTAAGAGTCTGTTCTCTCCTTCTACTATGTGGATCCCAGAGATTGGGCTTGACAACAAATGCCTTTACCCACTGAACCTCCCTCAATTATTTTGTATACCTAAGAGTTATCTACAACATAAAAGTCTAGCAAGAATTTTCTAAAACTGGGAGGGCTTTTCAAAAACCTATGAGTGTGATTAAGTTCCTAAGCTGATACACCACTGTAAATTTATATTTAGAAACACAAGAAGACATCCTGAATCATATAAGTTGTCATATCTCTCTGGTTTTACTATACTAGAATTTGTAAGCCAAAGCACAAATTCCAAGGATGAAATTTTACATTTGCTTATGAATTAAGAATTTTCAATGTCAAATTCTAAGTGCTTTACTATATCCATTTCAGTGCTAAGTCAGATTCAAATATTAAATAAATCTTAGTATGTTTTACACTTTGAATTTGAATTTAATCCATTTCTTTCATGTAAGCCAAAGGGGAGGAAACATTTGCCAATCAATCAACCATCCTTAGGATAAGTATTTTCCTTAGTGACTGAGAGATAGAAGGGGCTGGGAGTCCCTGTATCCCTCCATGACCTAACTTTCTTCCACTAAGGGCTCACTCTTAAAGGTTCTATCCTCTCCTAGAAGGTCCAACTGGTGACCAAGCTTCAGGAGGACACTTAGAAATGCACAACAAATCATCCCTTTTTTTGCATAAGACTTAAACCTCATAGCAAGAGCTTTAGGATGAAAGACTTGTTCGGGTGTAAGGAAATGACCTTTTACAATCTGTGCAAATTGCTTTCTGTTTTGTTTTTTGTTTGTTTGGTTTTGTTTTGTTTTTTATTTCTATAGAATTAGTCACAGGTGGTCAACTATTGTGTTTACTGATTAATTAATCATTTTTGTGTTACAGAATTTAAGCTGGAGGCCAATAGAGATAAAAGGTCATTCTGGTAGCAGTTGTTTGTTTATTTTTTTCTTTGTTGTTGTTTACACATAGCTTATAAAGATAATATAATGAAAGAATGGTCAAGTGCCGCATGTCCTTTTATGTGGACAACAGTCTGTCCATCCCATGGTCATAGAACAAAAGTGCATGCACAATGTGGTTTTGTTTGCTCAGATGTTCTTGTATGACATGCCACATAATGCAGTCAGTTGCACTATTCATCTGTGTTGAGTGTTTGGAATCAAGCCACTTAGAGCTGCTTGGTTATTACTGTTTCAAAATGAAATGTTTTTCATGACACTAAACAGATGACTGTACTTCCCACTTTCTGCACACTGTGCTCCTGATCACCACAGAAAACAATAAACAGAGCAAAGAGGCCACTGCATCTATTAATCAGACCCCAGTGGAGAACAGCTCCCTTTGCTGTGTTACAAAGCAGATGACCAGCATCTTGACTGATGCATCTGGAGACTTAAATTCTTAGCATATGGTGCCTACATGCACTGCAATAGCCAAATAACAAAAAAACAGTCGCATTATTGAAGTTGTCATAAGATGTAGAGTGTGTCTCTGAATGACCTGATTCATGAGAGCTTTATTTAGAATAATCAATGATGTCATATTTAGTTTGAATACTGAGTTTCTGATCATTCTTATTTTGGTTTTCCATGAGCCAGAGATAATATCTCCCAATGTTGGTAATTGTTCCATTTTAAATTCTATGGTGTAGTTTATTCATTACCTTCACTTTTCCCACTGATCATGGCCTCCAGAAATTCCAATTTCTTGATCAACCTTTTCAGGGAGCAGTTCAATAGTTTATTTTCTTTAGTTCATGATGGTCCAGATGAAGTTTGGCAGAGCTGCCTAAAAGGAAATATCAATAAGATGTTATTTGATGTGCACTTGAACATTCAGCACTTCCAATAATCACTAAAAAACTACCATGCTCAACACACATATAAGGCACAGAAAGTAGGTATTATACAGAGCAAAAGCATTCTGCAACATAACAGCAGATAACATGTGAAAATGGTAAAACAGGGTAAGTTAAGGATCTCTACTAGAGATCCTTTTGGAGTCCTCCAGATGTTCATCTAAACCAGGGCAGTCCAAGACACCCTAATTGTCGTGCTAGAAACCCCATCCAATGACTGAGGGAACTGGATGCAGAGATCCACGGCTAGGCCCCAGGTGGAGCTCCAGGAGTCCAATTTGCAAGAATGAGGAGGGTTTATATGAGTGAGAATTGTTGAGACCAAGGTTGGATAAAGCACAGGGACAAATAGCCAAACGAATGGAAACACATGAACTATGAACCAATGGCTGAAGGGCCCCCAACTGGATCAGGCCCTCTGAATGGGTGAGGAAGTCGATTGGCTTGATCTGTTTGGGAGGCATCCAGGCAGTGGGACCGGGTCCTGTGCTCATTGCATAAGTTGGCTGTTTGAAACCTGGGGCTTAAACAGGGTCGCTTGGCTCGGACTGGGAGGAGGGGACTGGACCTGCCTGGACTGAGTCTACCAGGTTGATCTCAGTCCTCGGGGGAGGCTTTTCCCTGGAGGAGGTGGGAATAGGGGGTAGGCTTGGGGGAAGGTGAGGGGGGCGGGAGGGGGGGAGAACAAAGGAATCCGTGGCTGATATGTAGAACTGAATTGTATTGTAAAATAAAAATAAAATAAAATAAAAGACAGGGGGCAGAATTCTTTGAGTTCATTACCTAACAATGCTTCTAACAGATTGGTATTCCTCAGAACAAACTTTAGAAAATGTAATGCAGAACACAGCACTGTAACAAAAGCAAACTAATGCTCAGAAGAGTCTTTGGAAGCTCATGAGAAGGAATTGTTCTTGGCAATTGGAGAAAATTATGGAAGGTGTCATTACGGGTGTGGCTTTGAAATGAGTCTCTGGGGGACAGACAAGATGAGAAAGAATACAGCCCTGCTTTGAGAGAACAGAGCACAGCCTCCTGTGTAGCATTACTCTTAAAAGTTCTGTTCTAAGGACTAGGGAGATGATGGTACTATTTATCAATGACAGGAAAATTTTTAAACAATTTAGTTTAAAGGCCTAGAACTGAAGGTAACAGCATGTAGAACATAGAAGTAAATAAATATTTTGGACTTGTTAAGCTCATGGTGAAGAAATTCCAGGTAAAAATTTTCAAGACAAAATTGAAGACAACACTAGAGATTTGAAGGACCCCTAAAAAGATAGCAAGGATTTTATCTACTCCTGTAAGTGACATTTTAAAAAATAGAAAAAGATGAAGTTTCCTAGGAAAGGTACACTTGCATTTATTTGTGGGCCCTAGCTGACCAAGAGATGGGAAGAGATGGGAAGAGCAGTGATGGGGAGTTGGATGAGGAGAAACGTGTAAGTCTTCCAAAGTGGACATAGATAAAGATGATATTTTTGTGTGAGGTGCTTGCTTCTGTATAACTATTAATAATTATCACCTAGAATTGAGTGGCTTAAATCAGTAACCTGGTGTTGGCTTGGCTGGGTCCTTCTGCTTCAGGAACACATAAGTGTCAATCAGGACCTCAGATGAAGGATCTCTGGGCAAGGATCCATTTCCAAGATCTATCTCCCAGAGAAGGATCAATTCTGAGGCTCACTTATTTGGTTGTTGCAAGAATTAGTTTCCAAATTTGAATACTTCAGTCCCTTGCTGGCAACTGGCCAGTGATTGACCATTATTCTCAGGCAGGTAACCCTCTTCTCAACCAAGAGGAAGGCAAGAAGAGAGAGAGGGATGCAAGCAAGAGAGAGATCAGTCTTCACAGCTGTCTTCAAAAGTGCCATTTCATTGTCTTTGCAGGGTTTTGTTTCCAGGGTCCAGCACCCGGTCAAGAGGAGCATGAGCCCCTGGTGTCAGGGCTGACCAGTCCTACATACTGTCCTCCACATCATCTGGACGGTTTGGATCTAAAATGTCCTTCCTCCTTCTCCCCTACAGTCTTGTGTGTTTGCATACTTGGTCCCCAGCTGGTACTACTGTTGTAAAACATTTGGGATGTAGAGCCTAGCTAGAGGCCTAGGTACAAACTCTGAGGATTGTAGGTTAGCCCTGCTTCCATTCCCCTCTTCATCATGATCCATTAAGCTGTCATGCTGACAGCTCCTGCTACCAAGAACACCATGCCATCCTTGTCATAACAGAATATATTCCCTCAACATGGTCTTCTCTTAAGTTGCTGTTACTGGATGTTTTATCACCTAAACAAGAAAAGTAACAAATATCCTTCTTGTGTGAACACTTATCAAGCATCCCCTGCAGAGGAGGTTCTCAGCAATCAGGTAAGCAAATGTGTTCTGTGGATATCAGTTGCCGCTGTACATTTTTATGAACTCAGAGTCACAATACCTTCATGGACCTGCTACCAGGCTGTGGGCATCCACATACATACGAGCAGTACTAAATGAACTCATCAAGTCCCTTTATATGTAGTCAAGTCAATTTATATGTAATATGAGAATTAATTAAAACATTATATTTTAAAAAGAGGTACTGAGAGGGCAGTGAGCAGGTTGCAATGATACAAGACTGAAGGCCTGGGTACCTTCAAGTATTCATTCAATCCTATCTCCCAGGAGTGAAAAACCCAGAGTCTGATGAACACAGTGGCAACAGCAAGAAAACACACCTGTTCAAGAAGTGAGTGTGTGGGGCTGCCTTCCTCTTCTTTTCCTCCGTTCCGTCTGGTCTCACAGCATGCTGGATGGTGCTGTCTGCATTCAGGGCAGAAAGTTAGCACTCAGTTCACTTGCCCAGACACCAGGCTTCTTGGACATATCTTCACAGATACTCACAGAAGTGTGCTTCACCCACTTTTTAGGCTCCTTCGATCCAGTAATGTTAACAACAATGTTTAACCATTATTCATATGTGTGATGGTAAATATTAACTTTCAACATTACAAGATCTAGACTCACCTAGGAGACAAGCCTCAGGCATCTTTGAGGAAGTTTCTACATTGAGTGTATTGAGGCTGGAAAACTACCCTAACTCCAGGTAGCACCATTTGATGGGTGGAGTCTGTACCAATAAAAAAGAGACCATGAGTGGAGCATAGACATCCCTTCTCTGCTTCCTGACTTCAGTCACAGTACAACCAGCTGCCTCATAGTCCACTTGCCATGCATTCCCTTCTATAATATCCAGCTACCTTCAACTATAAGTCACAATGAGCTCTGCCTTTTTATATTGCCTTTGCAAAATATTTTATCACAGCAATGAGAAAAGTATCTAATACAATATGCATGCATGTAAATATCAACTATCTATGCCTCTGACCACTAGCTTTCAATTTCAGGGCTTTAAAGTGCTAGCTACACTTCATTAATAAATATATGGAAATACTAAATGCTATGTTTGGAGAGGATAATTTTGGATATTTTTTATAGTATTCCATGATTTTATTTATCAGTAATAGTTCAACTGCTATACTTTTATTTCACCTTTCCTGTTAAATGAACAAAGTCTTTACTTGAAAAAATATTTTATGAGGGTACAAGCATCAACAAACAACAATTAGCAAGGCCTCACCTACATCTAAGACTGAGGATGCATTCAAAAGTCATCTTCATGCAATCCTTCTGGAATAGCACAATTTTCAATGTCTTTGTAATAAAGCCAAAAGAGTCCACATGTTTATCTCTGTTATAAGAGCACCATCTCAGGTTTTAACTGGGAGGGCTCTCTTTAAATGTCAAAATAAAGATTTTTGTCTAAAAATGATTTAGAAGCTGAATTTTGCTCATTTGAGTATACCTTTAAATAATATAATTTCCCTTAATATTGGTCATGATCTTGTTATAGCCAATTAGACTTTGAAGTCTGAACTTTATCATTAAAAAATGAGTTGTGCCCTCAGGACATACTGATTGTATTTCTTGCTTAAGAACTGTACTTGGTAAGTACACAAATTACTGAAAATCAAAATCTATACCATTTAAATTTACAAAATTTTATTTAAAAAAAAAAAGCCCTTACGAACATTTTACCATGTCACAGTGCAGGAGTCAGAGACAAAACTTATCTCTAGGAATGCGAATGGGACATAATGAATAAATCATGCACTTGTATAACTTTTAAAGAGGAAGGAGATGTTCTTATTGGAAATTCTAGCAAGTAGATAAAGAACAGTCCCTTGTGACTGCTGAGAATATGATATCCCTTTTTGCTGTGGTAAATAAATTAGAATTACTTAGAATAGTAGTAAAGAGAACATGGGGCTTTATAACACAGCACTGAATTCTAAGAGCTCTAGTAACATCAAAACATCATCTGAAAAATATTTTCACTAAACACTGGAAAACATGCTTGCACCCTTCACTCAAAACCTACACTGTTATTTATTTGATGCTGTCATGGTCTGTCTGGACCATGTGGAGTCCAAACTATAATGGGTTGCACACACACCTAGGTCCAGCTGCCTCTTTGTATTGGTGATGTCTCCTCCATGTCTGCAGCCATCCCAGATCTCTCCCCGTAGTCCATATATTTTTATCTAGGCACCCACTGATACTTTTCCTTGCATGCACAAGCATCTTTCACTCAGCTGTCCATGCCACTCTTCCCATCCCTCAAATCTGCCATAATTTTTTTGAAATGGCACCAACTTACATATGACATGACTGACTAGAGACCTTCCCTGTGGCACTCATTTCTAGTTAGAACTGCTCAACCTGGACTTTGAGTCCCACTTGAGTCCACGTCCTTCTTTGTATTCCTGCTAAGCCAGACATGCACACCATACCTATCCTAGACAACAACTGCCTTGATATATCTGCTTTCCCAGCCTTTCTCCTGAGTAATATCTATCAAACTGAAATCTAATCTCATTTCTCATTGATTAAAATGTATCAGTTTAATTGCATATTGTAAAAAAGAATGCAAGTACTTTAGCCAATCAACCACACTTAACTCCTCATACATCTTTATGACAATTGGTCTCATCTGCACATCCTTCCTTAGCCTCATCCGATGCTTGATTCTAAGCTGACTGAGTGGTACAAGACAAGAGTGTAGGTGTCATCTCTGTACTCTTAGTGACAGGCACATAGGAGGTACTCAGGCTGCATTTAATAAATGGACAAACCCCAAAACACATCAAAGAATGCCACTGGGTTGGTCGAAAGCTATATCAGGGAACATTTGTTATTTGAAGTATTTCAGCATTATTTCAACCCAAAGAACACCTGTTCATTTTCAGGTCCATGGCCGCTAATGGAGAAGCATTTGCTGTCCACGCTGCATCTGATCACTCCTAAATCACAGTTGATATGTTCCCTGTGGGGTGCACACTTAGAGGTGTAAGCATTTAGTGTCACATCATTATTCATGGTTTCTCCATCACCTTTCTTAACCAGCTGAGTCATTTTTGTGGTTGCCCTTAAAATTAGCCATTTTTACAGCTTAGCTCTGGCACCAAGTCAGCTCGCCTAGCTGGCAATTTATGTATGGCCCAAGTTTCTGTAGCTTAAAGGTCACAGAACTTTAATAAAGGACTGAAGGCTATTGTCATTTATCTGTTCTCTGTTATAGTATCACGGAGTTATTATTGATAATTCCTGGAGATTAGTATTTAGAATACAGTACTGAGAACAGGAGATGGTGTGCATGGCATGATAACCACTGCATCTGCATGGCAATTTTCTACTCAGATTTTATTTTTCTTGACAATATTTCCCCTTCCTGCTGTGGTCTGAGAATTCTGATGCTGTGCTCACTGAGTGGGTTCTCTTTAGATGACCTTTGCTCTTCAAGATAGTGCACAGATTCTGGAAACCAGACCGAGTCAAGGTACAGCTCAGTGACAGGGCAGCAGCTTAGCATGTGCAAGGCTGGGGAAGGGAGGAAAAGAGAGAAGGGGGGGTGGGCTGGGAGCATTTTAACTACCAACTGTAGCACATTGAGTACCAGACCAGGCTGTCTTCAGACACTGCAGGGAATGATGGAGTTGGCCTGGTCTAGCTGCCTTAAGAGGCACACGTCATAGGTTTTTCAAGTTATAGTCTGTGGATCCTGGGGTACTGTGTGCCTTTTAGTCCCTGAGAAACTGAGACACTCCCTTAGGCAGTGGGGTGTACAGGCTTCCTTTTTATCTCTGTGTTCCCTAAAAATCAGCAAAGCATACAGAAGCCTGGCAGAACAATTAATCTTAGACATTAATCATGTAGAGCTTACAAACATCATTGTATCCTGGAAACTACAATTGTATTCTTCCTGGCAACCGCCATTATATTCTGTTTCTGATAAGGGTATAAAATGCCTGATTGCTTACAATAAACTTGTCACAGCATTATTCTTGCTGTGACCCTTCTGACGTGTCCCTGATAGATGACATTCCCTCTGACCATAATCAGGTAACCCTGGCTCGGTAAGTAAGCACTGGTGCTTATAGGACACCAAATCAGCAGTATGCAAGTCTATCCTGGGAAACTGAAGGGCTTCCGTGGGGTAAATAAGGAAACAGCCTACAAGTTGAGGCCTGTAGCACCTTCCTATCTGTAGTCAACCTAAGACAGTGAGTCAGGGTTGTTTGGATTCTTTCTAAAGATTGAATTATTTCAAGATTATTTAGTGATTAAGAAATAGTCAAAAAAAAGAAAAAGAAATAGTCAAGAAATCTTGCATCCTTGGTGATTGGCTCCAGGGAATATTTCATTTTACCATCTGTTATGGTTAAGAGGAGATGGGGTATGTTTGAAGCTAGCCCACAAGAAAACCCTGTTTAAGAAAAGATAACTTACATGTATTGAATGTTTGCGAAATGCCAGGTACTGTCTAAAGTGGTTCATCAATCCCAAACACATTCAGTCATCAGAACCACTGTGCAGAGAGTAAGGCATTGAAGTAGGTAAGCCACTTGATCCAGGTCACAGAGTGGCTAGCAGAGACCATAGAGCCTGGCCATGCCCCTTGCTCCCTGTTTAAACCCTGAGCTACTGCTCCTTTATTTCTACAGAATAACAAGGAACAACATGTAACACCCAAGATGCCTTATAATAATCTGCACAAGAGAAAATTCTTAGAATTAAAAATTATGGAATGAGGCACAGAAATTAGACTCAATAAGATCAGCCAGTTTGCCTAATATTGTCCCAGACACCAACACTTCTAGTTCCCTCGTAAAATGTTGCTGGAAATGTCAGTTCTTGGTGCTGCTAAAATGGTAGTTACCATTCTAACCTTCTTGCATCAAGATTGTTTTAAGTCCATGTTTTGTGTTCCCCAAAATATCATGTACCCTAATAAACTTATCTGGGGTCAGAGAACAGAACAGACACTGGATATAGAGGCCAGAAAATGGTGGCACACATGACTTTTATCCTAGCATGACTTTAATCCTAGCATTCCAGAAGCAGAGATCCATCTGGATCTCTGCGAGTTCAAAGCCACACTGGAAACAGCCAGGCATGGTGACTCATGCCTTTAATCCTAGGAAGTGATGGCAGAAAGCAGAAAGGTACATAAGGCATGAGGACCAGGAACTTAGAGCCTGGTTAAGCTTTTAGGCTTTTGTGCATCAGTTTGACTGAGATTCATTTGAATGAGGACTCAGAGGCTTCCAGTCTGAGGAAAAAGGATCAGCTGAGGAAAATGGCAAGGTAAGGTAGCTGTGGCTTGTTCTGCTTCTCAGATCTTCCAGCATTCACCCCAATACTTGGCTCCAGGTTTGTTCTTATTTAATAAGACCTGCTAAGATCCATGCTACATGTCTATTTTTTTTAAGATTTATTTATTTATTATGTATACAGTGTTCTGCCTGCATGTATGCCTACCCGCCAGAAGAGGGCACCAAATCTCACTACAGATGGTTGTGAGCCACGATGTGGGTGCTGGGAATTGAACTCAGGACCTCTGGAAGAGCAGTCAGTGCTCTTAACCTCTGAGCCATCTCTCCAGTCTATTTTTGATGTGTCAGTTAGGGTCTTCATAGAAGACTATGGGCTATGTTATAATAACCTCTTCCATTTGCAGGCCAAGGATAATACAACCTTCAAGCAGAAGACAGACCAGTTTTAAAAATTGTGCGCATTTTCAATTCTGTAATGAAATTTAATTTAAATTTAACTTAATTTAATCCTATTATGAATACATTTTTATTTTTAGTTATAATGTTCACTTTTGTCATATTCATTTGTTAGTAAGTATGAACTGATATTCTTGTAAGGTTCAGTTGTAGTTACATATGTTACACTAGCATGATATCATATTTTACATTCATACATTATGATTTTCCTAGCAAAGCTTCTAAGTGGGCAAAGTTTATTTTAGTTAAATACAAAATCTAATACATAAATTTATAATGAAATAAAATTCTGAGGAACTAGAGTTTTCCCTTATAATTGGTCAACTCTTTATTCTTTGTTACTAAGGAAGGTGCTCTTTAAAATCTCAATTTAGTCAATTTATACATTGATCATCTGTCAGAGATTTTGTTGAAATACACTATACAGTTTGTCCCATCCCATGATAATCCAGTAGCATCCTGAAACTCTGGGTACTCCAAGAATTTTTAAAAGAACTACAAAGGTAGGTAACACCTAGAGAAATAACAAAAGATAGAAAAAAATGCACCATTAAAGACAAATGGCTCATGCCTTTAATCCCAGCACTGAGGCAGGCAGATCTCCATAAGGCCAGTCTGGTCTACATAGTGAGCTCCAGAACAG